GCAGTTGAAATCACCTACTACGAGAAGGGAACCTGGAATCTGTTGAGCGGTAACACTCGATACGTTCGTTCCTCCAAGAGAACAAACTTCCAGAGTGTAAATCGGTTTTTGCAACTACACATCTGCCCTTATTCTGAAATTAAAACCAAAAGAAAACACAGATACCTTTCAAGGACCCGGGACATTTGGGCAACAGTTTCGAACCCGTGAATCACTTCAAGACTTCAAAACTTCCAGACTGAGTGACTGACTGACCTTTAGTGGTACGTTAGCGCCCGGTACGAATTTTCAAAGTGCTCGTGATCGAAAGTATTTTTGCTCAGCTCCACTGCAGCTCTGCCTCTAAAAATATGAATCTTTCTTCGTTGCTATTCTGTTTCTGTTCTTTGAACTCGCTTCCGCGTATTTTCTCCCGAGCGGATATTCCAACTCCCAATTGTCCGTCTTGCCATTACTTTTCATAAGACATAAGTTCGCCATAAAAGATCACCCAAAAACTCCATCTTTATGACCTTGTCCACTTTGTGTTTCGTTTTTAACGCAAGGGCCATTTACGATATTCTACGTACTTGTTTGAAAATCACTTTCCTACACTGTGTGTACTATTACTTTTTGCTTTCCACTGTTCACGTTTCATATTGTTGTACATTTTGATCATGCGCACTAGCATGCTTCGCGGGCTTCGCGAAATATACCGTTATTATTATTATTATTATTATTATTAATGAATATCAATAGATATTTCAAACTATATTTGGTAAAATATCCACTTTCATTATTCGTTTCGTTTTGTGACCTCAAGAGGGCCACACTTTTAAAGCGTCATATAGTTAAGAGTGAAATATCAGTAAATATTTCATAGGCTTTTTCCCAGCCGTTGTATCGCGCAGTCGAACCAACTGATCGGCCAGTTTTACTTTTTGGGAATTTTTGGTCCCGTTTTATCGCGGGCTTGAGTCATTTTTGGTGGAGTATTTTTATCCAAGGGCTTTTGCAACTTGAAGTGCTCTTCCTATATATTACTTTTTTCGTACGATAAGTGATCTATATTCATGGCTACTAAAGCAACCATGGTACAGCATCCTGACACGCGTGGAGCCAGGGGTTTTGGTAGAGCGGTTAGTAATGGTATCCAGTGTAATAGACACGGCTCGTGGTACCACGAAAAATGCTCCAAGATGTCCAAGCAGTGTTATGCGCTGCACCTTCAGCATGGAGTATTGAAGTGGATATGCGCACACTGCGAGGCATTCTAAAAGGAGCCTTGGTAGGGGCTGTGACCACCAGTTCACCACTAATTTTCAATACCCGCGAGCCGAGACCGCTAGCGAAGCCGGTGGAGGGGGTGAAGCATGGTGCCAAACATACTATGAAGGAAAGCAATGGAAAGGAGAAAATCACAAGCACAAAGGGAAAGAAACCACTCAATGGGGCTACGGTTAAACCGTTGGCGTCGATAGAGGCTATTGCACATGTACAACGTTTGGAGAAAGATCTCCAAGAGCTGCAACGCAGCACACAAGCGCTACTGGGTCGAACAAGAAACGTCTTGCTGCATAACTTTGCGGAGCCATTGATTCGCGATACTAAAGCGCGACGAGAGGCTGATCGCGGATACGTTCAAGACATTTTTCGACTGACGTGTATACCGGCCAATACCGCCCTATGTTAAGTGCCACAGGGTTGGGCTGTGGAGGCAGAACCAGACAACCAGACCCAGGCCTATACTAGTAGTATTTCGCAGCACATACATCCGGGACCTTCTGCTTTCTAGGGCTGAAGCAGTGGAGATGAACACCAGGGGGTGCATCAAAGTCACCCCTGATACAGTTCATCACGCCCAGCGGGGCTTCATGCCCACTGCTCCTGCAACAGAAATAATGCAACAAAGGGAGCCCAGAGTTATTGTGACAAACAAAACGCACCAATGGCGCATGGAGTGGGAGTAAGCGAGGCATGCCAACGCAGGGTGGTCCATCAAAGTCTATCAGTTGGGTCACCGTTGAGCAAGTCCACACCCATGTTACCGAAGCCAGATGGGCCAAAAAGCGACAACAGGAAGGGGAAAAAGCCGAGGCACTTCCCAGCTGGAGGAAAACATACAACAGAAGAGCAGACGGCCCACTAAAGATCACTCTGTCGGAGCCATCCAAGGCTGAGGGAGTTAAAAAGATGGGTGAGTCTACGGTCGCTGATACCAAGGCGAAATCAGCGTCCGTTCGTTGGGCCACAGTGGTAGCAAGGGATATTCAGGACATTCCCCCTCTGAGTAGGACACTATCCGTGCTTAAAAGGCAGCGAGCGCCCACGAAAAGACTCGGTGAAGAATTTGGGTTAACCCTCAAAGACATCACAAAGTCTGTGGGGGGGTAAAGCCTGGTCGTTCACGGAGCTTGATCGCCCGGTATCCGCAAACATAGTATTAAAAAAAGTAATAGCTTCTCAGGCCTTACGTCCGAGGATACATCCCACGCAATAGGGAAGAGGTGTATGAAGGCGGAGGTAGACACCGTCACAGTGTGGTACACTAACGCCTTCAGCGTAAGGGTAAAATGTGGAGAGTTGGCGACGAGCACCCAAAACTCGGCGATAATGGCTATCACTGAAACTTGGATGCAGCATGAGCAAGAGGTAGAGAAGCCAGAGACTACTGGACTTATAGGCAAGATAGAGTGGACAGCAAACGAGGCGGAGGAGTACTCCTGCTGGTCAGAGCCACTTACTGTCAAGTGGGACTCACCAGTAAAACTGGCAACACCTAATATTCAAGCCAAGGCGTGTAGTATCCTCTTGGGAAGACGACCGTTAGGAGTGTTACTAGTCTATCGCGCACTCCAGGCAGAACCCACGGAAGATATGGAACTACTTGCTACAGTGCAGAAATTCAATAATAATAATAATAGTTTATTTCTCGGTTTACATCGAGAAGCGTGCAGATTGCGCACGATCGAGTGGGTAAAGTTACAGTGATAATATGTTTAAATAGGGTGTGGTAGTTACAAAAGTAGTTTGTTTACAGAG